CTAGTTAGTATTATAATAATTAATATTATTATTTTAAATATATTAATATAGTTACATTAAACATTTAAGGTAAATTGATTTTGTATTACTTAGAAATAGTGTAAGAAGTAACGCGAAAAAAAATTTTAAGCGAATTTTCATCAAGAGTAAATAAGGGCCACTTTGGAATATATAAGCCATTTTTATGTGTCATTAATAAAAAAAAACAAATTGTTTTAAATTTCTTTCTTATACAATTCATTCCATGTAATTAAAATACATAAAAGAAAAGAAATATTTAAAAATAAATTTTATAAATTTATTCATCATCATAATATAAAGTAAATTATTTTGTTTAAGTACAATAATTTTTCTTAATCTATAAGTATTACATAAAGTAACTGAAAAAATTTCTTTTAATTTATGTACCATGAAACTACATGATTTTATTAAGATATCATCTTTATTTTTTAGATGTATGATATCTATATATACATAATGTATATGTATACATATGCATATATATCACATAACGTGTAAAAAATAAAGATATACATATATATATATATAAGTAATTATCACATGTTTTATGTAAATAAAAATTTTGTTTTTATTCAATAATTGTCATATGCTTTTTTATCATGTTACGTATAAAGTGTCTTATGATACATTCATCCTTCACATTCTTACTTTATACATATACCAACAGAATAATAAGTTTAATGCAATCATTATAAAATATAATTTTTTCAGAAGTCGAATTACAATGTATGTTTTTTCGGTAGTGTATAAAATTTATTTAATGTATATATACGTTAGTGTGACAGGTGGATAATAATACCGTGCATTTTGAGTAAAAATAAATAAAAAAAAAACTTAAAACACTTCCTTCGTGTGACATGTCATTTCGAAAAAATTAAATTTAAAATTTTTCCAGATTTGCATACACTTGATTTTCATTTTTAAATTTAACAAAGAACTTATGTGCCCCAAAGGTATTGTATACCGCGAACAAATATACATATAAGATTGCATTAACATAAATCTATACTTATGTGTACAGTTACTAGTATCTGATATGATCGATTCGTAAAAAATTTAACAAGTGCATGCATACCTGAACAATTTTCAAACTAATTTTTTTTAACAATCAAATTATTAACGGAAAAATCTTTTTCAACGATTTCACTTTAGTTTTACAAAGTAAATTGTCTTATGTCTGGTTACTGATGTATATGGATACTGTTCATCTCATTAAATCTTATATTCATGAGCAAAAATAAACAAATAATGTACAATCAATTAAAATTATCATTTCAACATTCATAAGAGTTTATAATACAAATATAAGTGCAAATTAATACAATAAAATGTAAAATTATTTAACAAATAAAACACAGAATATAAATATATTTTAATAATTCAGGTCACATTAAGGGTGGTCCTGTGTATTTAAGGCTTCCAGAATAGAAATCTGGTGGACCTTCAATAACCAATAACTTAACTTCTTCAATTATATCTGATAAATCTGTACACGACTTAGAACTACCAACAGTTTTGAAAAATGTACATGGTCTTGGTCCTTTTCCTGAATCATCTACATCATAAGGTGGACTGAGAATATCTAAAAATGCAGCTGGCCCTTCAATACAGGTAATTTCATGTAAGTTTCTGTCCCGTGGTGTAAGAGTACAAGCAGGAGAATTACTGTGTAAAGATATTGGTTTATGTCTAAATGCCATTACTTCCTTATTCACTTTACTTGTATAATCTTCATTTGTTTTCAAAGTATAATTATTCACTTGAACTTCCCCAGAAATTACCTGTATTTAAAAAATAAAATAGAATTTTATTTATATTTTAAAATGAATAAATATCTTAATATTGTAAACCCATAATCACAAACAAATGATCTGTAAAACATGTAAAAGGTACAAAGTTATTTTTTTATTCTATCCTATAATAAGATATGCTGAAGTAATAATAGTTATAACTAGTTTGAAAACATTATTACTGTAATTAATGAATCGAATCATCAACTGTAAATAATTGTCATCATTTAGTAGGACAGAGGCACATTGATAGTTTTTCAAGCGTGAAAAAGAATAAATACACAAAATGACAAAATTTTTTCAGGAATTTTTGTAAAAATGTATGTCAACTTTTGGCAAGCTAAAGTATCATTGTTTTAGACAGTTTACATATCATCCTCAATTTATTTATTTTTTTACTTCAGTTCAAATTTGAATATAAGTGACCATCAAATGTCCATTAATCTAGTATTAATAAAACTAACGAAATATGTAATTTTTATATGGTTTGTTTATTTTTAAATATTTCGAAGCATCACACAAAGTTACAGATCATTTTAACTTTTTGAAAGATTTATCAGTATGCAAACATAACCAACATGGATATAAAGTGACTTGTTATTTAAATGCAATTAATACTTTTATATTATTAGCAAAATTAGAAACAAGGTAAAGAATGTTTTTATAAAATAGTATAAGATTGGTACATTCACGAAATACAATTCAAAATATATATAGTCAATTGCTGCTTTCATATCTGTGATTATGGATTAATAACAATCTATGAAGTATTGATATATATTAAGAAGAAAATATAAATTTTTCATACCTTTAAAAAGCCATACATTCCAGGGTGATCATGTATTGGCATTGTAAATCCATGTTTCAATATAAAAATTGAAATAGCAAAGTCCTTATTTTCAAATATGTCAATAACCCACATTGGTGCATGTTGTACTTGAATAAAATCAAGAACCTGCTGATTCAAATTTACATCTTCAGCTGTAATTTTATTCATTAAATATCGTAGTTTGTCAAAATTTTGTTGACAAAGTTTAAACCCAGCATTGCTTCGTTCCTCAAATGTATTTAATGCTTGTTTCCACAATGTTTTTATTGCCGCCGTCATGTTTACTTATTACAATTTACAACAAAATCTTCATGAATTCACCTTTTACAAATAATGTTAACAGATTATTAACGTAGTATTTAAAACACTGATATACAAGAAAATATGTACGAAATTTCATAAAAAAAATATCTAAATAACCTTAAAAAATATAGCACGCAATAATTAATTACAGATAAAAGAACTTAAATGTTATTAATTTAAAGTAAATAAATATTTTAATAAATACCACTTAATTATTACACCCAAATTTTGTGTCTAAGCTTTTTCATAAATTGTACTAAATAAGAATGCGCAATATAATTAAAAGTTGTTTCACATATTTAGAGGTTAAGCGTATTAAACTATTTTCATCTTGCTATATGTTAAAATGTACTTCATAATATTTTCTCAATTACTTCTAATACATCAATATAGAAAAATAACATGTATATATATATATATATACATATATATGTCACCCTTTTTACGAGTTTTCGATATCCACAAATACTTCACATTTGTTGATATGAACTTTACTAAACATGGCTGTGATATGTGATTTGATGCTAAGCAATGCTAAGGTAAATGATGGAGAAATGTACGTATGCATGAATTTATATGTGGTGTATATATATATATATATCAACATAGATACTTGTGTATTGTTGATATACCAAGAGAACGGAATTATGAACGACCAATTTTCGTTCATTCTGGGCATATCGACTCTGATTGGTTCTAAAATACTTCATAGTCAAAAGTAACGCGTAAGCGTTTTTACACGCTTCAAATATTAAGCATACATGTCCAGTGGCATTTTATTTTATGCACTTGATTCATATGGCAAATTCAATTTCTGTCAAATATCCCTTTTTCACAGCTACAAGTTATACAAGATTACGTAATCAATAGAAGTACGTACAAATGTAAACGATTACTTTTTAATGTAGCATAATGCTTTAATTTAATTAAGTAGCAGGCGCAATAATGTAATATTATTAAGTATTTTGGTGAAAGAATTAAACCTTTTCAAGAAGATAGTAGTATTTTTACTTTAAATTACATAATATTATACATAGTCTATTATATGCTGTTATTAGAATACCTAACATACAATTATTCCACTAAAAAAAATGTTTGAAATAAAAGTTTCAGGAAATGTAATATTGTTATTTGTTTGATTCTGCGACGATTTTGACATATTTTCTTTTAGATGAATTGATTCTTTCGAACATTCTGCGTACAAAACTATTAAAATATATTCTTAAAAACGTTAACAACTCGTCAGATATTTTTATCTTTTGAATAAAATATTGCATTTTTTAAATTACAATATTTCATGAACTGTGTACAATACTGATTTGTTTTTGCATAATACTTTAGTACTTTTTTTATACAGAATACTCCGAAGAATATATCCCTGTAAAAGAAGATATGCTATCCCATTTCCAAATTTATGTATGTCCTCCACAATACTTTACAAAGTGATCGTTACGTTAAATGGATAAAAGTAATACAAATATAATTCTAATTTAACAAATATAATTCTACAATATAATTATATAAATATAATTCTTCATTTAACAGTTTTTTTACATTTCTGATCCCGTAAATACGCGTATACACTCAAAACCAACATACGGTATCTGAATTGTGTAGGCCGTTTAAATCGAGAATAAATAAGTAGTTTATTCTTTGTTTGAGATCATTATCATTGATTAATTATCCACATTGCAGTTGTCAAACTGACAATTTTAACTAATACAATTCTTTAATATTTTAATCCTGTTTGTACTTGATTAGCTTTGCTTGATATCATGTGCACTTGGTATAAACATACAAATTAATTTAAAGATCCATGCGTTATGATATAACTTAGAGCAGTTCCTAACTCTGTCACTAACAAAGTAGGACACCTTGGCAACAATTTATCAATACCTCTACTTTTTCCCACTATTCATATACTTTGTCTACCGTGTATATAACCGTTGAAGTAAAAAATAAGTCATATTGAAGCAGTACAAGTGGGAAAACCTTCTGAGTTCAATCGAGTTGCGCAGAATAACTTCGTTTTCAGTGATGCGAAAAATGTATCTACATACAAACGAGTATACATGTGTGTATACAAAGTGAAACATATTACGCGGATACTAAGAGTAACTTACGTGTAGTTTATAGTAATAAAGAATATATAAAATCAAACGTACTTAATTTCGAAGGAGGCATAATGCAGTCCTATTATTTTTTTTTGTACAGTGCTGGTTAGTAAAAATCATACATTGTGTCTTTTTAATTTTGATGAAAAATTAAACTGATAAGGGACATCACCCAATTATTACACGCCGATTTTTATGAAATTGTTATACATTATAAAACTCGAAAAAATATTTGATACGTATTTTCTATGGGTAATGTTAAAGACTTATCGTAGATTATTTAGTTTATTTAGTTTTTAAGTGAAAATTGTATAAGTATGGGTTATGTGTTAGTGAATGTAAAATAACCATGGTTATTCGTTGCGCGAAACATTGCGAATTGCGAATATTATATTGTAAAAGCAAATGTAGCGTTAAGTTTATTTTGTATCGAGGAGCAAAGTAAGAGTGAGCAAGATAGCATTAGTAAACTTCTTAGAAACGATACCTAGCTGGCGATCTCCTTGCGTGCACAGGGGTGCTTCGGCAAACCTGGGGCTGTTCAGGCCAACGGCTAGGGGAGGTACTGTGTGTATCGCCCTGAGGCTGGTAGTCCCACAGTAGGAGATGTCGAAAATCTCCGGTAATAAGGGACAGTGGACGGAGGCTGGTTTAGGAGATTCTCCGGGACCTTTAGGCTGGTCTAGGAGGAAAACCGCTATGGTAGATAAGGGTAGAATTCCAGGAAAGGCCCGAGCGCGTCGCGAACATTGCTCGAGCGAGGCCCGAATATTCATTATAAATTTGTCTGTTGAACAAGCAAGACCTATTTCGCTCGCGCTTTCACGAAACATTGTATTTTGCGAATTGATTATAATTTTCTGGTTTTGTTCGTCTATTACGGGTAATATTTTTACGTTCTACAAATCCTGCAACTGTTATCAATTTTTTTCATCTAAGAATTTGTACAATTTATATCCGAATTATTTATATAAAATTATTAACCAATCCCGATTTTGCTTTCGTTTATTCAATGTTAGTTTATCAATTAACAGGTAAATATCCACTTTGTAGCGGTAAAAATTATTCTTAAAGTTGGTGTTGAAAAAGCTATTTTCACAAATATCTCGGGAAATGTTAGACCTAGATAAAAAATTAAAAATACCAATTTTTCCGGTTTGGAAGACCAATAATACGGCGTAAGTGGATTTTTGAAAAATTTGTTTGTTTAAAAAATATGTTAATAATTAACATTATTTTGCAAATTTTTTAAGTAAAAAGTTGAACTATTTTGGTCTTTCACATACCTAAATTACGGGTTCAAAAAACCAATTCGAATAAATTGGAATTTTTAATTTCTGTCGTGCGAAAAATATGTATTACTATGGTTCGAGTTATGCGCACATTTTATAGCTTCCGTCCGGTGCACGGTTGATTCCTTTACTTAATGTTCTGATAATTGTATTATATTACAATTTTTATACTAATTTATTTAAAAAAATAATTTGAAGGTCCATAAATGCCCCTATAAAACATGGGGACAAGGGACATCACCCAATTGATAAACGCCGATTTTGATGAAATTTTTATATATTATAGAACTCGAAAAAATATTTGACACGTATTTTTTTTATCGGCAAACATCCACTCTGAAGGGGTGAAAATAACCCTTAAAGTTGGGGTTGAAAAAACTATTTTCTCAAATATCTTGGGAACTATTAGGCCTAGGCAAAAAATTAACCCCTTAGCTTACAATGACGCATCAGAGGCGTCCTAAGTCTATCGAGCCAAACATGAATAAGACGCCTGAGAGTCGTCGTAAGTCTACCGGGCGAAACATAAACAAGACCTTTCTGAAACTTGCAACAATAAATCTTTTTTTTTATTTAATAACACTGTGCAACAGCCAATTGATTTCCTAACGGCTACTATGAAATTCTTATAGATTTTTGCAAGCTAAATACGAATCTGAAATCCGATCTGAAATCCGTTTTTCTCTACGTTTTTCTCTAAGACGTACAGTTTTTGAGAAAATTAATTTGAAAAAAATTGCAATTTTTCAACTTTGGAAATTTTTTGTGCTTTTACCGTAGCAGCTATTCAGTGGCTTTTTACACGAGAAGAATCTGTGAATTTTCCTGAATAAAACTATATGAATTGTTATTACATTGTAAATATTTAAATATGCTTCCAGGATGCGTACCGTTTATGGCAGAGTAGCTGGCAAAAGTATGTAGAAGCCCAAGGGCAGTACTTTGAAGAATTTTGAGTATTTGTAAGAATTGGTTCAATAAATTCCTTAAAAAAAAAATCATTCGCATTACTTTCGGAACACACTATGTAGTACGTACATTTTATACCTTCCGTTCGGTGCACGACTGATTCCTGTACATAGTATTCTGGAAATTGTATTATATTACATTTTTTATACGAGTTTATTTAAAAAAAAAAACTTAAGGGTCCATAGGTGCCTCTATAAAAATATGGGGCCCGAGCAGATATCCTACTTGTTCCGCGTTATAGGCGCGTACTAGTGGCAGTATTCGACGCACGGAAGATCTCATTTGACCAAAATAGTTCGACGTTTCATTTAAAAAATTTGCACAATAATGTTAATTATTAAAATATTTTTTAGACAAACAAATTTTTCAAAAATCCACTTACGCCGTATTATTGCCCTTCCAAACCGGAAAAATTTGTATTTTTAATTTTTTATCTAGGTTTAACAGTTCTTGAGATATTTGTGAAAATAGCTTTTTCAACCCCAACTTTAAGGGTCATTTTCACCACCTCAAAGTGAGTATTTGTAACAATTAGATAATGTCCTTGGGTGAACGTGACAGCTTTGTAACAAACACTATAATATTCTGTATCAATACTTGCTACTATGTCAAAAAAGGCGGAATTTTGTTGAATATTTATGACAAACTGATGACAAACTAATTTTAATAATATGTATAAAACGCGGTGATCACTTAAAGTCATACATTTGGGTGATTTCACATCAAATCAATCACTTTTATACGTCAACGTCATAAATTTTATTCTAGTCGAAATAGATTATAGTATACGGCAAATTGGTAAGGAGGGAGGATTAAGTTATTAGTTTGCCAATTTCAAATTTGTTTAAAGAATACTGGTATCTGAAACTTGCAATTTTTGCTTATTCTCACGAGAACTTGCTGTGCTTTAAAGAATTTAAAAGAATTTCAAATTAATGACATTAAAATGACCGACTTTATTACAATCGGTGGTATGTATCCCTTGTACGTCATAAAACCCGCAATATGATTAAAAAACAATATTGACTATTAAACAAAATATATTCAAAAAGATTTATTTAACAAAAGTCCTTGATTTTTGTGCAGCTAAAGCAAGAAAAAAAGTTCACAACAATGTGTGATTTCACTATCTGCCTCAAAAGTTCGCCTATCACAAAATTTTTAACAGATATCTATTTCTCTTCTTTCGATAGCCATTTTGCTATTAACATTAAATAATTAGTTATGAAGAATTTTTTTCAGTTGCTTAGCAATAATGTTTCAAGAAGAGTACTTCCCCGGATTACTTACCCGTAGCATTAACTACTTGATTCATGCAGACTACGCAATTTAAAAAATCTGTTATGCGTATATTCAATTTTGTGTCATTAAAGTAGCAATATTTTTTATTTTTATTTTTTCTGTTAAATATAAATAAATATCTAATATTATTATAAAAATGTTTCTATTATTTGTTATATAATCTATGCCAATAAATATAATATTGTGTTATAATATCCAAATACTTATGTTTTCATTCGCTTTCCCCCTAATTTTCATTACTAACGTAGATGTGAGTAGATCGCGAAGGTAAGTCCTAGAAGCAAAGAAACAACTCAACTTCTTCATCATTTAAAATTTAAAGTAGTACGATGGCAGGCATGAAATTTCAAGAAAGCGTATATGCTTTTATCGTATAAGATAATAAAATTTCAAACAGGATCTTCGAAAACGATTAATAATATTGAGGAAAGATGTCGAACTATTGAAAAATTCGTTGAATAGATTAACTAATACATTAATAGCATTGACTACGTTTCCATCGAGGGTCCAAATCGGGTCAGAGTCGGGTTAAAGTCGGGTTAGAGTTAAGTTGCCTTGCCTGTTTCCATGGGATCAGAGTTACGTTGGGGTTGGAGTTGGGTTGAACATTACCAACTGCACAAAGTCAACTACCATATTCTAACATGTAAAGCTGAGCAATATTAATTTTAGAATATCAAAATAACATACAAAAATTATTTCTCAGATTACAAGATCACCGACAAAAAGTAATAATAACCTCTTCTACACCGATTAATACAACACGTGATACACAATGCAATTTGGATTTGTTATGTTGGCAACACGAACCCGACTCTTGTCGTTTCCACCGAACCTCAACTGAACGCTACCCTAAAATTTTGTAGGGTAGAGTTCAACTAAACCTTTGGCGTTTCCACCGTACGAGCGCTGACCCCAACCCGACTCTAACCCGACTCTGACCCGATTTGGACCCTCGATGGAAACGTAGTCATGTGATTTCACTATCTGCCTCAAAAGTTCGCCTATCACAAAATTTTTAACAGATATCTATTTCTCTTCTTTCGATAGCCATTTTGCTATTAACATTAAATAATTAGTTATGAAGAATTTTTTTCAGTTGCTTAGCAATAATGTTTCAAGAAGAGTACTTCCCCGGATTACTTACCCGTAGCATTAACTACTTGATTCATGCAGACTACGCAATTTAAAAAATCTGTTATGCGTATATTCAATTTTGTGTCATTAAAGTAGCAATATTTTTTATTTTTATTTTTTCTGTTAAATATAAATAAATATCTAATATTATTATAAAAATGTTTCTATTATTTGTTATATAATCTATGCCAATAAATATAATATTGTGTTATAATATCCAAATACTTATGTTTTCATTCGCTTTCCCCCTAATTTTCATTACTAACGTAGATGTGAGTAGATCGCGAAGGTAAGTCCTAGAAGCAAAGAAACAACTCAACTTCTTCATCATTTAAAATTTAAAGTAGTACGATGGCAGGCATGAAATTTCAAGAAAGCGTATATGCTTTTATCGTATAAGATAATAAAATTTCAAACAGGATCTTCGAAAACGATTAATAATATTGAGGAAAGATGTCGAACTATTGAAAAATTCGTTGAATAGATTAACTAATACATTAATAGCATTGACTACGTTTCCATCGAGGGTCCAAATCGGGTCAGAGTCGGGTTAAAGTCGGGTTAGAGTTAAGTTGCCTTGCCTGTTTCCATGGGATCAGAGTTACGTTGGGGTTGGAGTTGGGTTGAACATTACCAACTGCACAAAGTCAACTACCATATTCTGACATGTAAAGCTGAGCAATATTAATTTTACAATATCAAAATAACATACAAAAATTATTTCTCAGATTACAAGATCACCGACAAAAAGTAATAATAACCTCTTCTACACCGATTAATACAGCACGTGATACGCAATGCAATTTAGATTTGTTATGTTGGCAACACGAACTCGACTCTTGTCGTTTCCACCGAACCCAATTGAACGCTACCCTAAAATTTTGTAGGGTAGAGTTCAACTAAACCTTTGGCGTTTCCACCGTACGAGCGCTGACCCCAACCCGACTCTAACCCGACTCTGACCCGATTTGGACCCTCGATGGAAACGTAGTCATTGGAGAAAACAATGATGAAACTTTAGCGTTGACAGCTTTTAGCATATATTACATACATTTATTTCAACTTACTTTAATCATTTTGACTTACTCAATGTGAATGTTCATTTTTGGCAGCAATGAAATATGTAAAAACAAAATTTTAATTAGCATCGATTTAATCGATTTTAATGATTTTTCAACAACGTTGTAAATATGTTTTCTTATGCATATATTTCATAAAATGTGTAATATCCGGAAAGGAGCGATTATTGAAACAATTTTGGGTAAATTTTTTTTTTAACATCGACGAATTAAAGCGCTTGATTAGCTTCAAAAGCGATGGGTTCAAACATGATGAGTTTGCACCGTGTCATTGTAATTCTGTAATAAAAAATCCTTATATCATAGTCAAATCAAATAATGGCATATTAAGAGTAATATTCAGTTGTCCATTATTCATAAATAAGACATAAATTAACTATTTATTATTTATGCAATCCAAGTAAATTGAATTTGTTCAATACTTGTATTCATTATTTGGAAGAATATGGAACAAAATATAAAAAATTATTGTTACTTTTCACTAATTATTTAATATAATGGCAGTGAATACATAAGCCAAAAAAACTCGCGAATGATTATCCATAAATAACTTCAATGATTCCTTTTCCCTCTCTAATTGGACTTCGAACATTTTATTCTTAAGTACTGATTGCAGCGCAAATAATGTCGTACACAGAAAATTAAAGAACGTGTTAACTTCTATATCGCGTTGCAAAGTTAATTCTCCGGTAGATCAAAAAAAATGTTCCAAATGCAACATCAAATAGGAAATACAAAATTATTAAAGTTATTTATGGACAATTGTTCACGTGTTTTCGTTCGGCTTATTTACTTGCAGTTATTATATAAGACAATCAGTGAAAAGTAACAGTGAAATGAAATGAGTTCACTGATTCGGTTGTGCCATTGACTGTTGTGCGGTGTATGTTATTCCTTTGGATGATCAGGATTGGCGACCTAGAAAGAATAACCCATTTTCGTCAAAACAGGATTGGAATCCGTCAAAGGATTATTTATGGAACAATAAGTGCGTTTTAGTTATATTATTTGTACATTCTTCAAATTTAACATAGGCAGAAATTAATACACTTGTTATTTATTAGATTTAAAATCTTTTTTGTTGAATAAAAACGTAATTTATCCTTTAAAATATGTAAATTTGTTGTTTCCCGACTTTGCAACAAATGGCAAAATTTTTGATATTTTATTTTTTATTTGCAAAGAATGAATGAACATTATTCATAGTTGTTTTATTGGCCGTTGATTTAATGAAAAAGCGTCAAGTATTTTTTTCTTTGATGGGTGTAAAAATCATATTGACAATACAAAATAATAATAATACAAAAATAACATTGAATAGTAAAAATATAAAATATCTTGTATTGTGAGCAATTAACCGCGTGACAAAATAAAAGATATAGAATAAGATTACATTCTAGTTTTGAAAAAAGAAATAAAACTACAGAAAAATATAAAATTATCGTTAAGTCAAATTATTGCCTAAACAATTATTACAATTATTATTTCATGGATAATGTTCTTGTATCCTTTGCTCGTCTAGTAGGATTTTGATCACACCTTCATTCGATAGTCGTGATGTTCGTTTTTATGTAGACGTGAAGTAAATTCTTCAGCATGAAGGATTGACTTTGTTCGTTAAAAAATACAACTCGTGTACATAGTTATAATTAATTCATAATAGACTATTTATCTGCAAGTCATTCAAAAGTAAAATACTAAAAAATGGTGGGAATAAAATGGTGAAAAATCACATGTTTTTCCAAAATCCTTTACCATTATTATGTGGCATATAAAAAGATATGCAACTTTTAACTTCTTTTTGGATTTTGTATGTTTTCGTAAATATTCACTACAATATGAAAACTCACTATTACCTTGTGAAAGTACTTTCACTTCTAGAATTCTTTTACTGCCGAAACGAAGAATATTGCTACTATTGACTTCACACAAAGTACATTTCTGTAAAATTCAATTTTTTTTTTAATTTTCACGTTATTAAACTTCCAGTAATTAAGATTTAACATCTAAAAACTGGTAGGATATTAAAATGACAAAATTATGTATCATTAGCATTTATTGAGTTAATATAATTAATACATTTATGCGACACTATATTCTTATGCTTGTAATAAGTTTCCAATATATGTTGTGGTAATTCAATTGTAATTTGTAATAAATAGTTTGTTATTTCTATTATCCAGAGGTATCACTGTAGTATATTTATTCTATACCAGCTTTTCAATCTTGTAAAATTAATGTAAATATTTCGAAAACCACTATTAATAAGACAAAAACATTATGACATAAATAGATTCCAAATTATTAGGAATTGGCATGAAATCAAATTCAAGTTAACTTAAATTTCCCGCTTGCTAATACATCCAATTTAAAGAGACAGACCATCGACAAGCATTAAAAGTGCTGTCCGGAATCTTTGACGATACATATAATTTATTAATTTTCCAGAAGGCTTTCATCGGTCTCTGCTAAACTGATCAAATCTGGAACAAAGAAAAAGGAAGATTATGTGATTAGAAGAAGAGGGCAAAAGTGATCTCAAATGGCGGCAAAAATTCAAATATATTTACAATAAACTTGAAATTTATCACTATCAAGCTGACATTTTGATTTATGTCAGAACATTTTTCGTTCCATGGAATGTCTATGTTCCAATCAGTCTTTGCCCTTAGTGCTGACTATGGGAAATATTCAGGTGGCGCGATTTAGATGTTGTACAGTCTATGCATGAAATAGAGTATACACGTATTTATATACATATTCTTCCTATTATATTATTGAACTTATAATTGTTTACACGGAAGTCTTTTATAAACACAATCAATAATTACAGTTTTTAAATATATTGCTTTTTAAATTAAAAAGTTGTAGTGAAATAAACAAATAAATTATTAATATTACGTTAAAACTATACATAATTGTATCATAAAGTGTAACGAGTTGTTAATAAAAGTATAGTGCAATAAAATATAAACAATTATATTGAATTTTTATTAGTGTGATTTAGTTAGTGGATGCATTTATTTAACTACATAAATGATAGGTACAAAATAAAAAGAGTTAGACATCACAAAAACTCTTATTTGCATTAGTATTGCTGAATATGCAGGTGTTTTATGAACAAATATCAATATTTTTAATATTGTAATAATACGCTTATATCGTCCCCTTTTTTGTAATTTAAACATGTTTTCAGTGATACTAAATTTGCGAAAAGTTTTAAAAGATGTTACAGGTAAAAATATTATTTTATTTTATATATTATATGTACAATATTATCTTTAAACGTAAAAAATGTTGGCATTGGTTACTTACAAATAAAATACTACAATGTTATAAATATGTTTAAATATAGAAGTTAGTATTTGCTGTTTGTGTACTAAGTTTTGTTTTTTTACGATTTAAAGAAAATTTGTGTGCATCTTTCTTAAATTATTTATCATTTTTTATGTATTTGTCATTTACTTAATTTATAGTATAAAACTTATATAATAATAGCTAATTAATGAAATCTTCTTTTAAGTTGAATACATCGATGTGGATTTTACACTTTGGTTGTCATGGCTTTTAATGCCATTGTTAATAACATTTTTACTTCCCCTTCTAATTGTGGTATTGTTATATTTAACTGCATTAATATTATATGTATATAAGTTACACAGGTATGTTTTTATTAATTTAAATGTAAATAGTAAATAAAATTTGTAACTGTCATTATTTTACTTTAATAGAGTTAGGCTAAGAAATGCATATGGAACTGATTGGAGGAATGCAGCTAGAAATGTAGTAGCTGCTGTTTGGGATGCACATGGTTGGATTTGGTATGGTACGTCAAATGATATTAATTTTATTTCAAACATTCTTTGATGTGAACCAAATATTTATTTAGTGAAGTTATCGTCATAAGATATATATGTAAATAAAATAGGTAGTTATCATTAGTTTAAAAGATATTTACAAAAATCTTCAATAATGTTTATATTATGATTACATGTTCTGTATATGATTGACTTATTCTTATTTTTTAATGAATATTCCTATTATTATAATACACCTATTTGAAATAAAATATAATGTATTTTGGTAATACATATATCACATATGCTATATATCACATATATCATATATCACATATGCTTGGATGTGTGATGCTACAGTATGTTATTGATGTTGTCACAAGTACCTGTATTCTAAACAAATTAACTGAGGTATTTCATATATGCTATAGTAACTAGGAAAAGTGGTAATAATATATATAGAAGCATAGAAAACATATTTTATTATCATTGAAATTGAAAAGGACATCCATCATCGATAATTTGACTAAATACTTTTGTTTTTTACAGGATACGAAGTAGTTGGATTAGAAAATATACCGGAAAATGAACCAGTGCTTTTTGTATATTATCATGGAGCTATTCCTATAGATCTTTATTATTTTATATCCAAAGTATTACTTCTGAATTCAAAACTAATTCATACAGTAGCAGATAGATTTCTTTTTAAATGTCCTGGATGGTCTATAATTTCTGATGTATTGAAAGTCATACCTGGTACTGTACAAACATGTTCTGCTATTTTAAAAGAAGGAAACATGCTTGCTATTTCACCTGGAGGTGTGTACGAAGCTCAATTTGGAGATTCTTATTATCATCTACTGTGGAAAAAAAGAGTTGGTTTTGCAAAAGCTGCACTGGATGCCAAAGTGGTATGTTATTTTATTGTGAGCATTTTTTTATATTTAGATTATTTTGAAACACTAATGTTTTTGTAACAGTGCATAATACCTTTCTTTACAAAAAATGTTAGAGAAGCATTTAGAACAGTAAGTTGGGGTAGAAGAATATGGTTAAGAATATATGCTGCAACTAGATTTCCTTTTGTACCAATTTATGGAGGTTTTCCAGTAAAGTTAACAACATATGTTGGTAAACCAATTCCATATGATGGAAGTCTTACACCAGAAGAGTTGCAATTAAAGGTAATAATAATGCAAACATAACTTTTACAATTTTTAATAACATTTAACACATTATTTTTGCTTTTAGGTTGCAGGTGCACTAAAAAATTTAATAAATGAACATCAAAGAATACCTGGAAGTATATCATTGGCTTTATTAGAAAGAATATATAATATAGAAAAAAAGAAACCATAACTTTTAGCATGTGCTTGAGTATTATAAAAATTTCTGAAATTAAGTATTACGACATTTCCGAAATTTATACTTCCAATATATGTATTCTTCTCATTAGTTTATATTAACACGTTCATTATCAATTAGATATTGCTTCTGTCTTTAATAATATGAAAAAATTAAATATAATTAGAAAATAGAACATCCATATACAGGGTGTTTAGAGATTTACTAGCCAGCGTTTTTCTCGTAAACGACTGATACGAGAAAAAAATGAAAGAGGAAAAAATGATAGTGTTTTTTACAATCAACATAACGAAGTATATAAATTTTTCGTGTTTATACAATTTTTTGAAAAGTGAAGGTAGCATTCAGTTTTTTAAGTGGAATGATATATATTTTTTTATATCATATGAAAGGGCGTATCGAAACGAATTCTTGAGACCCATTCAGAGTCAAAAACAAACGAAATATTTCAAATATTTCGTATTACTGTATTTACCGGTATTTCTTACTGATATGTTTACATTTCGTGTTCAATGTGGTTTGCATTAGCTAGAAAGCACTTTTGGTGGTTTTATGTTATGATTATGTTATGATTAGGTCATGATAATGGTGTTATGATAATGGAAACCGCATTGAATACGAAATGTAAATATATCAGTAAGAAATACCGGTAAATACAGTAATACGAAATATTTGAAATATTTCGTTTGTTTGTGACTCTGAATGGGTCTCAAGGTCATGATATGTATCGTAAAAAAATATATACCATTCCACTTAAAAAACTGGTTACCTTCACTTCTCAAAAAATAGTATAAACATAAAAAATTTATATACTTCGTTATGTTGATTGTAAAAAACACTTTTTCCTCTTTAATTTTTTTCTCGTACCAGTCGTTTACGAGAAAAACGCTCGCTAGTAAATCTCTGAACACCCTGTATACATATATTACACTATCTTTTAGATCAGTGATGAGCAGATCGAATACCTGCCAAAGAATTAACAATCATTAACAACGTAAACGGCGCATGCAGCGATAAAGTGTATAAAATACAGAGATTGATACAATTTCTATTTTTCCACCTCTTACAGTTAAACAAATACAGCACCGACAGGCTGTTATAGACTCTTCTTATATTGTTGGTTAAACATATTGTTTTTCACATGAACTTTTATATAGACAAATCGCATTCCATCTATATAACACACGAAGATATGTGAAGGTTCCAAATTTTTAATTTTTCAAATTTACTAACTTTGAAATTATCATATTTCCAAATTTAGAAATTTTTAGTTTTCAGAATCCTTAAAATTTATGGGCTTAGAAATTTGTAGATTTCCAAATATTACATGAAGGATTTCTTTCTTACATTGCCAATTCCAAGATTTTCCCCTACTACTATTACAGTGAGGCAGTATAACTAGAATTTATTGTATTTACAAATACCTACAAGAATACGTTATTCGCATGTCCGTCGTCCGTGTACCGTGTCTCTAAAATCACAGTTATACATTACAGTTGTAGATTACATGATAGACTTTGATTTTCATCTGCTGTGAACCATATAAAACAAAAGGATTAAAATTTATATGAGAAATATAAAGTATCACAAATGTAACATTGGTAGTGAATGTGTTAATATTGTAATAAGGTACTGTTAAATTAAAACGTATACTGGTAAGTCAAAAAACACTAATATTGCGTTAAAAAAGTTATTATTTATTTTTTAAAGCTACGACTTATCTATTTACTTAATTAAGTTGTTGCGCTGTTTTTTTTACAAATTTTATTTTAAATCTATTTCAATTTTAATACAATTTTTTATACGTATATCACTGTAACGTCTGTACCTGATAACCAGACTAACCTAAGTCGACTTTGATTATTTAAAAAAAAGCAGAAAAAACAAATTATATCTTTTTAAACAAATTTCGATTAAATGAGAAAAAGAAATAAATGGAACTAGGTTAGTTTGATCCATGGGTAGAGATATACATATTTCGATATTTATAATTTTGTATAAACGAGACTTTAATTTAACTTATAATCATTACAAATTTTTACTATGAAAAGTTATTAACATAAATAATTTGTAAATATTTTAGTATTTTTATGGTACTATTGTGATTTATTGATAATATTTTGTAAGTACTTATTTACATTAGTTATGACTTGTTATTTTAAATAAAAGGTACTTAACAAGGTAGTGTCATTTTGTAACACTTACGTTTTAAATTTTCTATGAAACGAATTCATATAATGAAATAAATAATTTATGCTTTAAATTTACCGCGCTCGGAAATGTTGACATTGATCGTCGAATGTTAACCGGAAGATTTGAAATAGCAGCGAACCTAACGGCGGCTTTTCCAGTTAAAACTTCTTTCCCCAAGGGTATCTTCAGATACCTTATTATATTCAGCGAATGGTATTGGACTGCTATCGTTTTTTGTAGCTACAACGGTCACGTTTATGTGAATTCTGCTTACCGATACAGATCGTTAAATTTCATATCATAAGATTTAATTATTTCTTTGTCAAGAATCTAGTTTTGTGCAACCGAAAATACGTAATCATGGGCGTGGATGTGAAAGTTCTTTCTCTTGGAGATGGTAATTATTCTGTACACAATATTTTATGATCTTTCACCTTTGGTTTTCGTTTGCCGCTTTTTTCTTATGTTGTGTCTGACTTATTTTATTTTTATTAGATTTTGATTAGAAATCGTGAGCTATATTTCATTAGAAATATTTCAAAAAGATTCATTGACAAAATTTATTTACAACCTTTAAATCAATGAGAAGCATGCTTGGTCGATACTTTCTCCTCAAAAAGACGATTTTGATTATTAGTTAATACATTCGATTAATATCTGAAATTTTATTATTTAGTAGGTGAAACCAAAGCAAAGTGAGACATTTAAGATTTAATAATAGAAACAAGCGCATTTTTTTATTTTAAAAAGTATGTTTCCATTAGTTTAAAATACTACCAGAAAACAAGCATTGTCAATAATCTAAAAATATGTAAAATAATATAAATATATTATGTAATAATTGTGGTCCTTTTTATTTGTATGTTTTTGATGTCATATTGTAAGCAAATCATATTCTTTCTGTTATGAGTACAAGTAATTCATTTCAATTTCACTTTGCCATTTTTATTTTACCACCAAATTGATTAAAAGGAAAGAATACACAAATTTTATACTTTTGATGTTGTGTTAGTTAAATTAGTTTTTATTATGTGAAAATTAACTTTTCGAGCCCTTAGATTTTGGTTGAGCATTTAAAATATGTCTTCTAAAAAGACAGTTAAGTACAAAGGATTAAAACTTGACATTACTTATATGACTCCAAAAATTATAGTTATGTATAAACAATTTAATTTCTATGTAAATTTTTTAGGCAATTTGCCTTATAATTAAACAATCTTGAAAGTGTTAATAGTTTAATTTTCTGATAAATATACTATAATTAATATTATGCAATACTACAAATAATGAAACAAATAAAAATTTTACTTTGCTCTTGTTTCGTCTACTTTTAATTTGTAATATATTTTCTTTAATAGTGTTTGCTATATGTATGCAGGTCAAACTTACCCAAAAACTGGACAAACTGTAGTTGTTCATTATACAGGTAAATACTTTTATAACCATTTTCAATTACAGTGGAGTTGGGTTTTGTATCCTGGATTTTGGTCAGATTAATTAACTATCACCATCTTCCTCACTTGTTGCAACCAATTTGGTGGAATATGTTATTTCGTTAAAGAGATTACAAGACTTAGTATATTTATTTTTACAACCTGCTAATTCAAGACGGGCTCTGATGCCAAATGTTGATACCTCATTCATATACCTTCTTTCTTTCTTGTTCATTTAATTTTTTGATTTTGTCTGCTTCTTTAGATAATAATTCTAATATAGTTCCAGGATGTAGACAGTTAACCTAATTTCACTGTGCATTATTTCTTTCAAAATAAATAAATAATAATCTTTTCAATGTAATATGTGAACTTTCAATTGTATATTACAATACTACTAAAATGTTAAATAGAAACACTTCTATATATAAAATTTTCTTAGGTCAAAAGACAAATATTGTTACAACATTTAATGTTTCTGAACCTGGGTTTTTGATCTGTTTATTATGTTGTAATATGATTTTTTTTACGACTAAAGGACAGATATTTATATGTTTATGATATATTACAATCTACAAAGTAAACATAAATCATAAATCTATATACTGGTTCTCATAGATTAATTGATTTATTTATACATTGATATAACATAAATGCATAAATATCCACAGTCTATATATAATTAAACTTAATATTCTTTTTTTTTAAAAAACTTGCATGTTATTAAGTTTCCTTTTTGAATTTATCTTAAGTTTTCTTTTAAAATTGTAAGAATAAATTGAATCAGCAGATAAAAGTTCCCTTTTTATTTTGATTGGCAAGTAACAGTAAAACAATCGATTAATCTTAAAAATAAAATTATGGTTAAAGAAATAATCAGTTGATTAAATAGTTAAAAACATGTTTTTCTTTATCTCTCAATAGAAAAATATTTTAAAACTAAATTAAAAATATTTTAATTTATAAAGTTACTGTAAAGTAAATAAATTACAAGTAATTTTGCTAAGAACATGCATACATGAATTAAGATTGTTTTATTATTATCCAGTTACCCCTTAAATATTGAGGTATGTTTTTTCTAAACAATTTTAAAGTGTCTTGAAAATATAAAGATTGATGATATGTATCAATAACAATTTTTACTGACTTATTTACTTTCATCTAAAATTTTATTTTTATTCATTTCATTTTATTATAAACTTCTGTCAATCAGAAAGTAATGTTTTGTTTAAAATATGTATACTCAAGATATTTTATGCATCATTGTTTGAGTAAATTACGAATAAAATCGTTCATTATTATTATTATGGGTTTATGCATTCAGTTTTGATATTTTGAAATTGTATTACAAACCTTGAAAATTTCCAACAGGTATTCTTGAAAACGGGAAAAAATTTGACTCTAGCAGGGACCGTGGAGTGCCATTTAAATTCAAAATAGGTAAAGGAGAAGTTATTAAAGGTTGGGACCTAGGAGTTGCTCAAATGTGTGTTGGAGAGCGTGCTAGGCTAACTTGTTCTCCAGATTTTGCCTATGGTAGTCGAGGACATCCTGGAGTATATCCTTTAATACAAAATGATTATTTATAGCTTTACTTATTACATCATATACAGAGTATTTTTAAAATAAATGACCAAGTTTTTCCATTATTTTAAGAGTTCAGATAGAATGTATAAATCTTTCCTGTATGTAGTTCAGTATGACTTAACTATTACAATTTAACAAAATTTTTAGGGTTGGTGGAGAGGAGAAGTATCCTGAGTTGTAAAAGATTAAATTTTAGTATTGCCCTTCCAAACATTTTGTACATTATGCACACTGCTTCACTGATATTAGTGTGCTGAATATTTATATTGCACCTGTTTTTAGTAAAAGTAACGAACATATACTAACAATGCAAAAAATTGCGAAAGCGATACATGCTATTTATTGTAAAAGCAAGTTTTTAGTTTCAATGATTCAATAATAAATGTTGTAAAAGTCAACATTTTTAACGACTTATTCCTACACATGTAACAATCAGATTTTCTGAGCTTTTAAAATATAAAAACTGTCATTATTGTCTCATTTAATCCTGTCATATGTGTATTTGAAACACAGTCATAAGCATAATCGACATTTATGAGCAGTATATTTACTTTATTTGTTTTTTCAATATGTACTTAGAAAAATGTATGATATCGGTTGAGCCGTATTGTCATGTCACCAGCAAACGGCAGAAATCGAACATTTTTAAAATATCTTTAAAACTTAGGCTGAACAGAGGTTATATATATAGAAAAAAAGTTATTTATAATGTTATCCCGAATAATATATTTAGAAATCATCGTAATTGATGAAATGGACATTGTTAAAAAGGATCTAGCAAGATAATGTGATAAAAAGCATCTTTTGAATAGATTTTATTTTATATTGTATCGTTCGATAACTTATCATAAATCAATATCGTACACCAAGTTTAAACTCTGTATTTCAGTCAGAAGGGTAATTACAAATGAAATTGTGATTATGGGGTTTCGCCCTATTTTCCGTATTTAGAGACATACAAAAATTAAAAAAAAATTCAAATACACATAGATATGGCAAGGTATATTAGAGAATTTTTTGAGAGTTTTGTTGCAAATTCCAGATGCAAAAAATGTAAAACTGTAAATAAATCGTCAAAGATACAGATTTCGTACCGAAACTTAAATGCAACCACTTTCTTCCTTTTACATTGAAAGAATATTACCATGACTATTATCCTCTAACTTTTACAGATTTTTTTACTCGACTACGTTGAATAAATCATCAATGAATCGTTAATACTTCATAAATTAAGAAATATAAATATAAATTCTCGTAATTAATTTAATTTTTATCGTTTATATCTTATCCTACCTAAACCAAAAATATAAAAAATCATAAAACATATGCATTTTAAAAAGAAAGTGGATAGCTTGCAATTATTAAGACATGCTTTTGGCCAAAATATGCCGAAAAAGTAGTTTTGATTTTTTTTTCCTATAGTGTGCCATATCGAAATGTTTAAGTCTTGATACGAAATTATCTTTCTAAACTTTTTAGTACGACACTCATATTCAACACATAAAAATGACTAGAATGGTGCATAATATATGCTAAAAGTTTGGAGGGCAACGGTATCTCCATAGTTTTTACTATATAAAATTTTAGTCTTTGGTATTTATAAGTTTCTATAATGTTAATGAGGAACTTTTACTATAGCACATTACATTCTGCCTATACAGACATTGTTAATAAAACCGTCCTGGCTGTATTAGTTGGAAATATTAAATACTGTCGAATAGCTGGTGGTGTAATAATAATTTTGACATCAGTATTTATTGAATATCCCACGTATAATCCGACATCAACGAAATTTGACTGACATTTCACAGGTAATTGTTTGGTAACCGCCTCACGACAGCCGGATTAAAGTGGTTAACTTATACTTGTCCCAATACGGATGAAGCTGTATGGCAAACAATTGAATGAGTTATTGGGAATGCATTTGTCCATATACATCGTCTGGGAATAGTGAAGACTACTCCGTTATTGTTATTCTATACATAGATACTGAGGTCGATGTCGCTGTTACATCATCGACTATTCAATAGTTGACGATTGCAACAGCGAAAACGATTGATTAGTAACGTCTGTATAGACAATTGAATGTATTATACTGAAAGCGTTTTACTCATATTTTAGAAATTAATTAATATCCGAGTAAAAATTTTATATTTAAAGTCTCTTCTCCTCATTCCTATAAAATTTCGCATCAGTATGATGGTTGGGCCATACCTTACTGTAACCTGTTTGCCTGTTTAAGTAGTATAAAATGTTTTTAACAATGAAAGAATATTGTGACATGATATAATTATTTATATAACTTTTATTGAATTCTTAAGAGAAGTATATATTTTGGATTGACCACATATTTTAAGAACATATTTATATATGGATATGTTTAAAAATTCTAAATTTACGTACAATGCAATGCAACTTATATTATATTATATCTAATAATATAAGTAGAATTTATTAATATTCTACCATATTATCCTTGACAAAGACACACTATTCCTCCAAATGCAGTTCTTATCTTCGATGTGGAATTATTGAAGGTGGAGCCTTGAAGAGTTTTCCAGGGTATACCAAATTGACTACACACATCAGAATCACTGATAACTAAACGCTTCAAATTACATTATGTTAAGTAGTTATTGCATGAGTGGTATGTCACATACTTAATTTGATTGCTCATAAGAACAAAAAATTTAAGACATTAATTCCGTGTTCCACTATTGCACAAGTATACAATATTATAAATTACAATTGTACAGAAATGTCCAATGACTAGTTAACGTAAAACGTCAGGACACATTTTACACACTTTTGCGTCATAATTAGATTAACCTTTACACTGCTCATTGTGAGGCTGATCTATCGCATTCCTATTATGAGTAATTGAATTAAAAAGTAAATCTTAAAATATTTAACATATAATCTGATATCTGTGTTCATTCCAATTACTTAATCTGTACTTTGTATACAATTACCTGGATATTTTGTAAAAAATCTTTCGATAATGCAAAACAGAACAATTGTACTAATACTGTAATTGTATGAATCTTTACATGGAAAAATTCAATAAAAAATATTGTCTTGTCTCCAAATATAGATATATTTATTTCCATGTAAGGGAACTGTTGAAACGACGGATAATTCTAGAATTGATTTTGAGAGTATCATGTCATAGAACTGACAAAGAGGCCGATCCTTGCTTCTGGTATATGGTTCTATCGAGGAAAAGCAAGGACATCAATTTCGCTAATATAAAATGTTAAAACAAAAAAGCAATATTTTCTTATACTCCTTTTTTCAAGATATTCTTTGTATAATTATGTAGATCGGTGCAGAGCTGTCGAGTAACTTGTCTTTCATATCGTTTTAAAAAATAACTTTTATATAATTTGATAAAGTTAAAACTTTTATAAAATTTTAAGGGCTGAGTTGCAGGATTAGACTCTACCAATTTGCATAATTATGCAACAGATATTTTGAGAAAGAATGTATGAGAAAATATCGCTCAGTCGCTTAAAAATTTTATATTAGCGAAATTGTTCCTATTCTTATCTTTTTCCACAAGAAACAAGAGGCGCCGTTGTTTCTTAGTTCCGTTGGCAGAGGTCCTCTATTTGTTATACAGTATTTTCTCCATAAGTGTGAAAACTTTCAATCTGGAGTTTCACATTTATAAAATAAATACTACATTCTTTGTAGCGTACTGGACATAGAAAAGGATAGCAACACAAAAGCAAAGAGAGACTGAGGTTCGAAACTTCCGGCAAACATGAAAGGTCATATGCGAATGTAGCCTTTTAATTTAAAAAATCAGAATTCTTTATTTTTAGTTTCTCGCCAATGAACTTTTACCATCGTATTTGTCTCTCTTTTCTTATTAAAATGACACCAAACATGATATAATTATAATTACAATTACTTGTGTAGCAACACATTGGGAGGAATTTGTATCTCTACTGCAAATGTTACGTCCGAAACTTTTATGGTTTGTTACAGAAGTAATTATGATCGTAATTGTATTGTGTTTGGTGCCATTTTAGTCAGAAAAACGAGACGAATACGATGGTAAAGGTTTAATGAAAAAATAATAAGAAATAAGAAAATTGCAATCTTTTCTTTGTTTGCATAAGTATGCAAATGGATCCCTCTATTAGCGGAGAGAAAATTTTTACTTTTACGGTAAAGATCTTTTTCTCACTTGTGGAGAGAATCCTGCGCCTGCAGAGAATATGGTCATCTAGACTGTTGAAAAGTTAAATTGCGGGCCTAAGTACTAATGTGGTAAATGTAACAATGATAGAAGGAATAATTTATATAGAGGTTCAAAAAAAATGTAAACTGTATTCATGTGTAATACAACGCTCGCGCAGTGTGTCAAAACGGTGTTTTGTTCGGTGTTCCCAGTAATGACCACAGGAAGGACTGCAATGTTGATTACCACTCTTCACTCTTCGAAAGAGGTGAAGAGTCACTGCTTCTTATATAAGTACTAAACCCTTAAAAATTATTTACTGTTCGAATGTTATGAGATTAACTGTTGAAGAAGTGCGTATACTATCACAAAGAAATAATTGCTAACATAATATATTCGAAAGATTTTGCTCCTATAGTGAACCTGAAGAAATGATCAGAAGCCGTACTTGCGTTTTTAATTAGTCGTCAGTACCCTGATCAAAATTGGAAAAAGGATGGAAAAAGATTATTTAAATAAAAGAAAATGACAGTAGTGATCCCAGGTTACAGTAAAAATCTGTTTATCGGCATTCCATTTATTTAAATAAACTAAATTCCCAGATTCAATTGTACGAACCAGTACAATTGAGATATTAATATTCGAAAAGCGCGACAGTCTAACATTGAATTCAACTGTACAAACACGCGTTTATACGAGGTTTTCAACAATTTTGGAAATGCTTAAATATCTCGAAAATTAACTATAGTGACAAATACATAATTGTAATAAGAATTTAACTTTGAATGGGATACAAGAAGTCATAAGAAGGTCAATTTCAATATTTGCAATGGAATATATTTCATTGTATATTTTTGTAGTATATGTATTTCAAAAGTTTGTTATACTACTATAACATTGAATTTTTTGTTAAATACATCACGAATTACGAGGCTTGAAAGATACAAAGAAGTTTCACCGAGTGACCTGTTAGATCATATGGAAAACTTTAGAAATTGAAAAAAAGCAAAAAGAATCTATGTCCACTTTTTAATTAATTGAAAAGTGGAAAATAGTACCGTAAAATATATGTATATTATCTATTAGGGTGTCCCATAAGTTTCTTTCTTTTTTAACCGACTTCGAAAAAGGAGGAGGTTACTCAATTCGATCAGTATATTTTTTTTTTTTTTTTTTAAATATTATTATTATTATTATTATTTTCTATGTGTGCCCGCCGATTACGCCTAGCTGGATGGACCAATCGGAACGAAACCTTTTGCATCTGTTAGGTTCTGACTCCCCATTGGTACCATTATCAACAAATTTTTCATTTTTTAATTGCAAAGTATTGTTATTGCAAAAAAACCGGCAACTTTTGAAATAAAGTTTTCTCGATTTTAGTGCGCTTTTAATATCTTATCACGGACATGATTCTGAACAATTTTGTTCATATACAAATTTCG